GTACTCTAGTGAAGAGGTCTACAGGATTTTGACCATGTCAGGTGAGATTGAAGGGGAAGCCTCACTGACAGAATCAGGCACAGAATACGATGATTCTCATATGCAGCAGAGTTCCAGTACTAGTGCTGCTCTACCTTTTGGTGAACTGGTGAGCACCAGCGGCCTAGTACATCCTGGTCTTTTACAGGCCAGCACTGTAGTATCACTTGGTTATGTGGCGAGTCCCATAAGTGCAGTACAAGCTGGGGTGGTGGCTATCACAAGTAGTGTCCCGCAGCCACCAAGAATTCAAACACAGGCCTGCAGAGCCCCTAGTGTCCTTCCGGATGTGCTTGCAAATCCTGATTGGCAGCCCACAAATTCTGCAATACCCGTACTTCCCCCATTCACTGGCCAACCCAGAACTCAGGTAGAAACAGCAAATTTAACTACTGCCCTTGATTTTTTGGAGCTGTTTTTCATGGAAGATCTGTATGGATTGTGGATCAAAGCAATTTATATGCACAACAATTTATCGCCGCCAACCCAAATTCAAACCTTGCCAGACCATTTGCATGGAAACCAATTATGCTTTCCAAATTGAAAGTTTTTTGGGCCTAATCCTCAACATGGGCATTATTAAAAAAAATGAATTGTGGTTGTATTGGTCCACAGACTCGATTAATCATATACACATATATGTGTACCACGACCAGGCATAGATATGAGAATATAATGCGATTTATGCATTTCAGCAACAATACACTCATCCTTGGGGTGATCCAGAATTTGATTGGTTCCACAAAATTTGGCCACTCGTAAATCACCTTAACCAGAAATTTGCACATGTGTTTACTCCCCAGCAAAACTTCTGCGTTATGAGTCCCTCATTCATTTTTTTTGGCCACCTTGCATTCAAATAATTTTTCCACAGCAAGCATGCCAGATATGGAGTCAAAATGTATAAGACCTGTGAGAAGGCAACAGGCTATACATGTAATTTTACGAGGGAAAAAATAGTCACGTGGAGCCCCCCCAGATACCCAGACTACATGGGGAGCAGTGGCAAGATAGCTTGGGACTTGGTGCCACACTTTTTGCGTACGGGATGCCACTTATATGTGGACAATTTTTATAATGCCACTATTTAGACATTTCTACAATCTTGGAACTGATGCATGTGGCACCGTGTGACATAATCGCCGGGGCTTCCCCCAACGGTAAATACCCATCTTAGAAAGGGGGAAAAAGCCTGCTTGAAAAATGATGAATTGCTCGCAGTGAAGTGGAAGGACAAATGGGATGTTTTTGTCCTGTCTTCCATTCACGCAGGCACAACCATCCAAATTTCCACAACAGCTGGTGTTGTTGAGAAGCCCCTGTGTCCATGACTATAACCTTAACATGGGAGGGGTGGACTTCAACAACTAGATGATAAAGCCGTACTTCGTTTTCCAAAAATCCAGACGCTGGTACAAAAAGTGTCTATTTATTTCAATTGGCTCTATATAACACTTTTGTGATTTACAAAGCAACTGGACGAAGTGGATACTTTTTAAAGTGGATACTTCCTAAAATTCCAGGAAGAGATCATCATGGCCCTATTGTATCCAGAAGGTGCTGTGGCCCAAATCTGCAACACAGATGCAATGAGCTGGCTGCATGAGAGGCATTTTCCTGATGCCATTCCTGGTACCCAACCTAAAAGGCGCCCCAAAAAAATGTTGTGTTTGTAGCACGGAATTAGGTGTGACACTTGCTTTTTTTGTCCCTCTTGTCCTGGCTAACCTGGTCTCTGCCTCAAAGACTGCTTCTGTCGCTACCATACACTAGTGGACTATTAGTATAGGGTACAGCACATCACAGTCTAGGGCACATATATGCACTGGGTCTCAAAAGATGTTAGTAGTTAGGAAACTGGCTATTGCATTTTGAGAGACCCTACCACCTGGAAGTTAAAAAAGTAAAAAAAAAAAAAAAAAAAAAAAAAACAGTAAAAATCAACAAAAAAATAAAAAGCAAAAAAAGAAATAAAAAAAATCAAATTAGTTGTCATTTTATTGTTGTCGAGTTACTGTTTTATTGTTACAGTTTTATTGTTAACCATTGCTGTTTTCTTTGCAGGAATGCCATTCAGCTGCAGCACCAATCTCTTTATTCTGACAGCAACAGGGTCTTGCTCTCAGAATATATATAAGTGTGTGCAGCGCTGTTGGACGAGATTTTTCATCCGCAGTTAAAAAAGAGCATATAAGCCCAAGCATGGGGGCCTGGGGTGGCCAGTGGATGGATCAACTCTATGCTTCGGCATATATACTTTATAATATTTTTGCCACATATTTCAATTAAAAAGTTGTTTTATTGAGTTACTGTTTTACTGTTAATCGTTGATGTTTTCTTTGCAGGAATGCCATTCAGTTGCAGCACTGGGTCTTGCTCCCAGAATATATGTAAGTGTGTGACGCGGCTGGAGGGACCTGGGGTGGCCAGTGGGTGGATGGCCCTTATCCTTTGTTTGTATATTTAAAAAAAAATTTTGGCAGAGATTTCTTCATCCACATTGATCGATGTAAATAGAGGAATCTTTTATATTCTTTTTCTTTTGTTCATCCCTTGGGCTGAATGAAAAAAAAAAGAACATTTTCATTCAGCCCACAGGCTGCATAAAAGTAAAAGAACATAGCATATACACCCAACAAGGACCAGCGACATACTAGTACATTACTGGACTTTGAGTGGTAATACCAGGATGATGCCTGCATCTTAATATTGTTTTTTTCAGTTGGTGATTGGCTTTCATGTAAAAGCAATCCTATTGGCTAATTAGTTGCAGGAATGCTTTTACATGCAGCGGGAGAAGATGCACCCCCCCCCCGCTACCTTCCAGGACTTTCTCGGGCAGTCCCATGCCATCGGGGGGGAACTTGAGAGTGCCGCAGGTGTTTCTGCCAGCTGACCATAGAGCTGATTGGATCCCGGAATGGTGCCAATCATCTCTATAGTCTAAGAAACCAGAAGCTGTGAGCATTTAATCACTTCAGTTTTGCAGGATATAAACAGTGCCATTTTTAAATTTGGAAAGCATCTGATCACACCGATCTTGGTGAGATCAGATGATGTAAGGGCAGAGGAGATATATCAGATTTCTCAGAAAAGAATACCTGTCAATGCCTATTGCTGTCAGAGGGGATATTTACATTCTCTGTGACAACAATAAAGTGCTAAAAAAAATTAAAGAAACAGTTTAAAAATAATACTAATCATAAAAAATTAAAGCGTCCTGCCCCCCCGTGCATGCATGCAACTGCCTGTGCAACCGTTGGCCCCGTGTCGATATGTAAACAGCAGTTTCACCATGCATGTGAGGTATCGCCGCAAATGTCAGATCAAGGGCAGTAATTCTAGAACTAGGGGCGTGCGCAATTTTAAAGCATATCATGCTTGGTATCTATTTGCTCGGCATACCATCAACTTTATATTGTACCAAACAATTGGCCAATATATTGTGTTTTTGTACATTAAAAGTAAAAAAAGTGTATTTTTTTCAAAAGAATTCTGTTTGAAAAAGAGAGTACTGTGTGACATAAAAAATTGCAGCACCCACCATTTTATTCACTAGGGTGTCTGCTTTAAAAATATATATGTTTTGGGGTTCAAAGTAATTTCCTAGCAAAAAATACAGATTTTTTCATTGTAAGAAAATGTGTCAGAAAAGGCTTGGTCTTCAGGTGGTTAGAAGAGTAAGTGATGTGAGGCATACACTTCTAATACTGGGCATAAAAGCCCCCCACTCCAAATGACCCCTTTTTGGAAAGTAGAAACCCCAAACTGTTTGCTGAGAGGCATGTTGAGTCAATAGAAGAATTGATTTTTTTACCACAAGTTTTTGGAAAATGAATTTTTTTTTTTTTACACAAAGTTATTATTATTATACAGGATTTATATAGCGCCAACAGTTTGCTCAGCACTTTAAGTTGTCACTTAAATGATATATTGCTCACACATGCCATGGGTATATGTGGAATTACTCCACAAAATACATTCTGCTACTTCTCCCAAGTATGGGGATATCTCATGTGAGAGACTTTTTGGCAGTCTAGTTGTGTACAGGACCCCAAAATCCAATAAGTACCTTTAGGCTTTAAAGGGCTTTATTTCCTCATTACACTTACTGATTATCTATGGCAGTGTTGGAGGCCCTGAAATGCCAGAATAGTACACCCCCCCCAATATTAACCTTTTTTGGAAAGTGGACACCCCAAGAAATTTGCTAAGATGCATGGCGAGTATTTTTCAGATCTCGTTTGTTGCCACAAGTCTTTGGAAAATGAACATAAAAAACGAAAACATATTTTTTTCTTTTCTTTTTTTTCTTTTTAACCACTTGCCTACCAGGCACTTATACCCCCTTCTTTACCAGGCCAATTTTCAGCTTTCAGCGCTGCCGCACTTTGATTGACAATTGCGCGGTCATGCAACATTGTACCCATATGAAATTTTAATCATTTTTTCCTCACAAATAGAGCTTTCTTTTGCTGGTATTTAATCGCCACTGGGCGCTTTACTTTTTGCACTAAAAATAAAAAAAGTGTAAAAAATTTGAAAAAAAAAAAGTTTCTTTGTTTCTATTATAAAATTTTCCAAACAGGTATTTTTTCTCCTTCACTGATGTGCGTTGATTAGGCAGCACTGATGGGAACTGATAGGCGGCACTGATGGGCACTGATAGGCAGCACTAAAGGGCACTGATAGGCAGTACTAATGAGGTGGCACGAATAGGCGGCACTGATAGACAGCACTAATGAGGTGTCACGGATAGGCGGCACTAATATGCAGCACTGATAGGTGGCACTGATAGGTGACACTGATGATGAGTACTGATAGACGGCACTGACTGGCATCACTGCTGGGCACTGACTGGCGGTACTGACTGGCACAACCCCTGGGCACTGGCTGGTGGCACTGACTGGCAGCACTGCTGGGCTGCACTGGTGGACGGCACTGGTGGGCAGCACTGGTGGGTGGGCACAGGTGGGTGGCACTGGTGGGCACAGGTGGGTGGCACTGCTGGGCACAGGTGGGTGGCACTGCTGGGCACAGGTAGGTGGCACTTCTGGGCACAGGTAGGTGGCACTGCAGAGTGGCACAGGTGGGTGCACTGCTGGGCACAGGTGGGTGCACTGCTGGGCACAGGTGGGCGGAGCTAGTGGGCGCACTGCTGGGCACAGGTGGGCGGAACTTGCGGGCGGCACTGCTGGGCACCGATCATCGGGGCACTGATCATCAGTGCCCTGATGATCGGTGCCGATCCCCGCTCTGACAACTGCCGGTTCTCGGCAGTACTTTCCTCACGATCTGACAGCGTGAGGAAAGTGCAGCCGAGAACCGGCACTTGCATTTTCCTCTGATCAGCGTGTCATTGGACACCGCTGATCACGTGGTAAAAGGCCGCTGTGATTGGCCTTTTACCACATCACGTGATCAGCTGTGTCCGTAGGACACAGCGATCACGGAGATCGCCGGATGCGTGCCCCCTGGGGCGCGCAGGAGAGCGCGTTCTGGGAGGACGTCATATGACGTCCACCCAGAACTGGCCGGCCGCAGTGCAGCCGTCATTCGGCTATCTGCGGTCGGCTACTAGCTAAAAACCTTGTGAGAAAGACTGAGATCTGCAAAATGCTCACTATGCCTCTTATTAAATTCCTTGGAGTGTCTACTTTCCACAAAGGGGTCATTTGGGGGGTTTGGTGCTATCCTGGCATTTCAGAGTCTGAAACTGTGATAGGTAGTGAGGAAGTGAAATGAGGACGTTACGCACCTTCAAGCTTTCAAAGTGGTCATTGGATTTCAGGCTCCTGTATGTGGCTAGGCTCCCAAAAGGTCTCACACATCCCCATACTCAGTGGAAGTAGCAGAATGTATTTTGAGTTGTAATTCCACATATACCCATGGCATGGGTGAGCAATATATATTAATAAATTTAAAACTTTGTGTAAGTAAAAAGAAATGTCATTTTTCAAAAACTTTTGGTAAAAAATAAAGCATTCCATTGACTCAGCATGTCTCTCAGCAAATAGCATGGGGTGTCTACTTTTTAAAAAGGGGTCATTTGTGGGAGGATTGTTTTATCCTGGAATTTCAGAGCCTCTGAAACTGTAATAGGTAGTGCAAAAGTCGAAAATTCAAAAATTCCCTATGGAAAAAAAATAAATCTTCCAAGGGCTCAACTTGCCTCTCAGCAGATAGCTTATAATGTCTACTTTCCAAAGGGGTCATTTGGGGGTGTTTGTACTGACCTGTCATTTTAGCACCTCAAGAAATGTGATAGGCAGTCAGAAAGTAAGAGCTGTGTAAATTCCAGTATCTATATCATAGTTTGTAGACACTATAACTGCCACACAAACCAATTAATATACACTTATTGGGAATTTTTTTTACCAAAGACTTATAGCAAAATACATTTTGGCCTAAATGTATGACAAAATTTGAGTCTATAGGAATTTTTTTTATAACAGAAATGAAAAAATATCTTTTTTAATTTTTGGTCTTTTTTTGTTTACAGCAGAAAAAAATAAAAGACCCAGAGGTGATCAAATACCACCAACAGAAAGCTTTGGTGTGAAACAATGACATAAATTGCATTGGGTACATCACTGCATGACTGCACAATTACCAGTTGAAATAGCGCAGCGCCAAATAGCAAAAATGGCCTGGCCAGGAAGAGGGTAAATCCTCTGGAGGGCAAGTGGTTAAAGGCACAGGGACACATGGAACACCCAGCAAGGGCACAATGGCAGCTGAAGGTATCCAGTAAACATCCAGGTATGCACACAGCTTAGAATATTGGGCTATAGTCACAGCCAAGAGCATGCACACAAGGGTTCAATGGTAAAGATTCAGCCTGCAACCCAAAGCAGGGCCCGCCCTAAGAGGACCAGCTTAATGAGGAAAGAACAACTTTTATACATCAAGAGGCATCAGATATTGTAAGCCTTTACATGGAGGAAAAATTGTTGAAAATTAAGGCTTCAATGTCACTTTCAAGTAAAAATAAGAACCAAATAGAGAACTTTTTTCTTTGGGATTACTCCATATAAATGAAATTGCTTCCTGCTTTGTCACCATTATTATCATTCTGCTAATCTCTTCCAACCATACCATATGTTGCCATGAATGTTATTAAAAACTCCTATACTGTACACAAAACATTTCAAGGATATTACATAAACAAGTTTTATATTACCCTTGCTTCTTTGAAAACTTTTTATATCTCTGTTTGAAAGTGTTTCTTCATGTAATATTGAAGATGTGTAAGACTTGTGCTCTTTAGATCTATCTTTCATTTAGGAAGATTGTGATTGAACTAGCAAAATGAGATATCAATTTTAGCAATAATTTGATGTGCTTAGGGAATTAACCTAACTGGGGGAGGCTGTTATTTCGGATCATATGTATCATACAGTAAACCCCGTTTGCATAATCTGCAGTGAGGACAGCATTTTTATCACCAGGTCTGGTACATTTTGCAAAATATAAAGTGTTGGTAATAACATTCCTTGGTGGTTATTGCCCTTTTACTCTGAGCAGATACATAAAAAAGCTATCATCACATTTTAAAATGAAAGGGATCACAGTGTGATCATCATTATAACTGGCACAGATGCTGTTAGTCCTTTTCCTACTCTTGGCATTTCAGACTTGGCATTTAAATTCAAAACCATACAAAAGAGTTGGCTTTGATCCTGCAAAAATGTTGTATCAATAATGAAAGACAATAAAGTTCTATTATTAGACTGAGTTATGAAAACACAATCAGGAATTCAAAAGTTCTGGTTGGCTGCCTGGGAAGAATCTAACTTTAACTCAAGCAATCTGTTCTTCAACACAAAAGAAGAAGGGACAAAAATTCTAATATAAACCGGTGCAGGGTTTAGAAGTTCAAAGGGTCAATAAACTGAAAAGGATGATATTTTTAACTAACTACACAAAAGCAGTATATAATTGCATTTTTATTGATGAAACTAAGCACAAAATAAAATTAACAGGAAATAGATACTACTAGATAGGAACAAATGATTCCTAAATACCTGTTTTTAAATAACGATTTGTTCTCTTGATTCAATTGTGCAGTAGCTGTGTAGGTGTCTTACTGCAACTGCCTTGTTGCTACCTATTTGTCCTGTGACAGTTCCTTGCATGCATTGCAGTAGTGGTAGGTTAAGGACAGCGATGTTAGAGTAGGTGGTAAAATGGTGTTACTACATGTTGTTTGAGCTTTGACTTGATGTATCTGTTCAATCTTTCTCAGACACTACCTCGCAATATGTACTCGGTGACTACTTTAAACTTCCTGTTTCTACTTTGTTGCTATAGCCAACGATTGGCCATAACATATGTTCTTTATACATTAAGAAACTGGAAAATTTCAGCTTTTCTACTTGTCAAAATTCAAAGCCATTTATAGGTCATACACTGACATTTGCACTGCTATTTGCATGACTTGTGGTTGTTAGTTATGCAGTGGGCCCATAAGAATTGCTGTTCAAGGTATTATTTGCAATAAGATAATCTTTGTTCAGTCATTGGGAAAAAAAAGTAAAGCTAACTAAACACATTACACAATGCTAGCTAGACACATGGAAATTTCTTAAAAATGTCAATCACTTTTATCCATTTTTGGATTGCAAAAATAATAAAAAAAAAAATCAGGACAACCTACCCCAACACATTTTTATATCTAAATTTTTATGCATGTGGCACTGATGCTTGTAGGTGACCTTCCATTCCAATTCATTTGCTCATTTTTGTAATTGAAAGCTATCTGGAATTGGTTGAAATATCTGGAAAATGGATGTATGCATGGCCAATATCAGGCTGTATGGGAAAAGTACAAAAGGTCAATTGCAGTTGCTTAGGATGGCAACCCATATTGAAATCTGATTGTACAATCAAACTGGTTTAAATTTAATTACTAAGCAGTGTGAGGTACTACAGGTTTTGGTATAAATTACATTAGTTGTTTAATTTGGCAATTGTATTACAGAGTTATTGCTAAATCTTACAGCAATTGTACTGTTACGTGTGTAGCTAATTGAGTTATAAGTGTGTAAAGCAATCTTATGCACCAAGCCACAGAGCAAATTGGAAATGTCAGCAGTCATCAACTGATCTACTAAAATGGCAAATATGAAATTTGCCTGATAGCCACCAGAAAAGGAGGCACACTAACAGACTTGCCAGTAATGGTGCATGATAGCTGATGCTCCAAAATAATTTACATTTCAACTCCCTGGTGACCCAGGAAGCTATCTTGCCCTTTATTTTGTCTTTTTTAGCCTACTCTGTATTGAAACATTTTTTCATGTAATAAATTTTTATATATTCAAGAAAAAAACAATACAGCTAAACATTGCTAAACTCAACAAAATAACTAAAATTAAACTGTTGTAATTTCCTTTTAATTTCCACTGTTTCATGCCTGAGGAAAGGCTGGTTATATTGGCCTGAAACCATTGCAATTTTTCTGTAATAACTTTGTATATTCACTTATTATTTTTGTAACAAAAATTCACCATGGAGAGATACAACTCACACACACATATTTCTGTTATTTACTAAGGCAATTAGAACTATTATCTTGGCCCTTAGTGTGTGATAGCAGGGACATTCTGATCTTTGGAAATGTTCACTATTTGTACACTGCTCAAAAAAATTAAAAGAACACTTTTTAATCAAAGTATAGCATCAAGTCAATTAAATTCCTTGGATATTGATCTGGTCAGTTATGTTGCAGAGGGGGTTGTCAATCAGTTTCAGCTGCTTTGGTGTTAATGAAATTAACAGCAGGTGCACTAGATGGGCAAAAATGAGATGACCCCCCAAAACAGGAATGGTTTTACAAGTGGAGGACAACTGACATTTTTTTCCCTACTCATCTTTCCTGACTTTTTTTTCACTAGTTTTGCATTTGGCTAAGGTCAGTATCACTATTGTTAACATGAGGTGATACCTGTACCCTACAGAGGTTGCTCAGGCAGTCCAACTCCTCCAGGATGGCACATCAATACATGCCATTGTCAGAAGATTTGCTGTGTCTCAAGAGCATGGAGGAGATTCCAGGAGACAGGAAGTTACTCTAGGAGAGCTGGACAGGGCTGTTTAAGGTCTTTAGCCCATCAGCAAGACCGGTAACTGCTCCTTTGCGCAAGGAGGAACAGGATGAGCACTGCCAGAGCCCTACAAAATGACCTCCAGCAGGTCATTGGTGTGAATGTCTTTGACCAAACAATGAGAAACAGACTTCATGACGTCCTCTAGTGGGCCCTGTGCTCACTGCCCGGCACCATATAGCTCGACTGGCATTTGCCATTGAACACCAGAACTGGCAGGTCCACCACT